ATATCATATTTATCTGAATAAAGCTAAGTGCCAGGAACCTAAGTGGTCACCTTAATATTAAAAAAAAAAAAAAAAAACTAATACTAAAATACCCAGCCTCATATATATTGTCTGCTGCTAATGAGATTGAGACTAGTGAAGCTTTGCAGCAGCTAATAAAAAAAAAAACATTACTATTTGGCCAACTTTTACCAATGGTAAATTATTAAAAGCTTTAAAGGATACAGATAAACTAGCAAAAAAGAAAGTTGAGAAAACTAAATAAAAAAAAAGGCTGCTGCTCAAAAGAAGGCTAACATGAGTTGAAAAAAGCACAAAATCAAGCAAAAAATAAAGGAACTAAAAAGAAGAAAGCAGTAACGGTAACCAAAAGCACTATTGAGTGATATATATCTTGGTATATTTGTGTAACGATTACGTATTGCGTTTTACTGATTTTTTTGGTTAAGCTGGGTGATATTGGGTATAAGGTAGATGCGCCAAATTACCCTCCCGATTTGAAATTTCCAATTTTTCAATGATTTTAATCATGTAATAAAATAGCATATATTTTATTATCAAAGTGTTTTTTTTTTAAATTTAATTAAAGTACAAGTTTAAATTTTGTAAGCGATCAACTCTAGAAAAATTTTATTACCAATTATTCTTAGGTGCGTCATTATACCTTCCGTTACCTTATATTATCGTTATTAACTTGTTTAATTAAAAAAAAAAAAATTGGTTACCATTGACCAGTTCATAGCCCTGGTTATCATGTACAATATGGCAATGTAAACCCAAAAAATAAAGCACTGTAAGTGATTAACCAATCAGAAGAAAGTTACATTTTTTATTGGCATACGTACAGTACGTACTTGATACTCGTTATTCTTTCAGCGGAATTTTCATTGGAACACTGGAATATTGAAAAAAAAGAATTGAAAAATCCAACAGGGTTTCAACTTTGAATTAACAATGAGTGATAGCATACAACTTCAACCGGCTGATACCTCAACTTTAGACGCGTCAACTGAAAGCAGTTCGCATCTAGATCATGCGAACGATCATACGAATGCATATGAATATTCCGAATATACGGCTGAAAAAAACCAAGAATATCTTGAGTCCATTAGAAGAGAAACCGCCGAAAAAACACCACTCGTATGTCCGACCGAAAGCATGGATGATTTATTAAAAGAATATTCGCAGGGTAGTGAAGTATATCAACAGAAGATCACGGTTTGTTGTATTCTTTTGCAAATGTCAACAACAAGCCATCTGCCAATGGCGATCACCAAGAACTTATTTTTTAATCACCAATCGCCATCATGCTAGAAATTGGCAGAGAAACATCATACAATAAGACGTTGCCGAGGCGATGGCAGCTGTTTTTATCGGGGTAATATATTTGCATTACTAGAAATAAGTTTTAGAAAATTTCGAGAAAATGGATTAATTAACAAGCTAGTCATTCATGTACTATCTAGCCTTTGGGTTTGCGTGGTTCGAACGACTTTTGAATTCTAAAGACCCGACAATTCATCAAAACGCACTCGAAACGTTGACTTATACGAAAAATCAACTTCTTCCACATTGGTATGAAGAATGGATTTTTGAAGACATGTATGAAGAAGTCGAAGGACATTTAAAAGCTATTGTAGAAGGAAAATATGATAGTGACAAATTGCTGTCTATCTTTCAAGATGAGAGTATCTCTAATCAAATAGTCATGTATCTTCGATTCGTCACGACGGCCTACTTGAAAAAACATTTTAATGATTACAAACCATTTCTGGATTGTGATTTGGAAATGGATGAGTATTGCAGTAAATATGTAGAAGGCATGGATAAAGAGGCAGACCATATTCATGTCCTTGTATTGACACGAGCTTTAAAAGTTCCAGTTGAAATTGCATATATGAGTGGCTCCGACGCGCTGGACCAAGTCAATTTTCATGAATTTTACCCAGAAGACGGGACTTCAAAGGGCGTTTTACCTCTGAAACCTTTGGTGCTGCTCTACAGACCTGGGCACTACGATATTTTATATCGCGATGAATGAATTCTTTACGAATATTGTACTGGATGAATGTACACGTATCGAATGTAATATTCAACTTTTAATCAAATGTTAACATTGTAACATTTATCAAATATCATATGTATACCTATGTAATTAGGATTTCATTTAATAAAAAAAAAAAAACTACTGTATGTTAATAAAAATGGCTTGCATTATGTAGGTCAATTGCCTATTTTCTGAATGATGCTGGCCAGTTTTTTCCCCACTATTCAACTCTATTTCTTATTTAAAGTTTGAGTACTGTAGTGAGTTGGGAGTTATATAAATACTGATTGACTCTCCCAACTGCCAGCTCATTCTAAAAAAAAGATCTAGTCATGCCATTCTGTGTGGCAAGAATCCGTTCGTGTCCTGGTTCCAACCAATAGAAATTTTTCATGGTAAATTTGAAACTTAATTATACAATATATATACAGATATACAGCTAATACAGTATAATTTAAATATATGCAGATATGTTTGGTATAAATTAATCAAATTGGTTTTAACGCTTATTTGAAAAGGATTAGCTAAATCCGAGGTAAACAAAAATTACATTTTTGATGCATTAGGGTTGCCTTTTGATAAATTATACGTATAAATTGCATTTAGATTATCTTATGCAGTATGTAGACAAATGTCCACCAATTAAAAAACGGACCTCCACTATCTGCTATCTGTTATGCTAAAACTTTACGAACGCGTTTTATGATTACCCCGTTACCGGAGTTATACAAATGTTTCTTAGAAGAATTCTCTCTCATACCAGTCGTGTACCTTTAACTTTTACCTTACCGTTCCCTTCTGATCCCAATTTTACCGGCCAGCGACGTTTGTTGGTTTCTAAAAAAAAAGCTGGTGGGAAAAGTGGTAGTAAAAAAGGTAAAGTAGTGTTTAAAGAAGAAGACAATATAGAAGACGAAGAGGAGGATGCAAACAAAAGTACTTTTGATTTGACAAATATCACAACCAAAATGAATACTATCCTTGGGAGGCTAAAAAAAGAATATGGTACAATGAGGATCGGCCAAGCAAATCCAGGTTTGTACAATGCATGATTCAATATTTTTCGAAAAATAGGCGAATTTCACGTCAATAATCAACTTTCTTAAATTATCAAGCCATTCTTGATTCCGTGATGGTACCTCATGAAAATGGTAGCGCACCTCTAAGGGATCTTACACAAATAATAGTCAAAGATCCACAAACCTTATTAGTGCATGTACACGATGAAGAAGTATGGAAAGCATGAAGAATTCTTTTTTGTTATCTGGCATGATTCGACGCATATATGGGTATTGGCAGGATAATAGCAAAACGCGTGGCCGAAGGCCTCGTGCGTTGCAATTATACTGTCGATGTTCAAGATCCGTATATCATGCCAGATAACTAGTTTATCTGGCAGGTATGACGTATACGCTTACAGAAAGAATTTTATATTACTTCCGCGGAAATAATATGAAATTTTTTCCGTCAATGTTTACATAGTACCTGCCGGATAACTGATAATACGATTCCACGATTCCAAATCGAGGAAATAGTTGTTATTGGCAGGATATTAAAAAAAATTATTTTTTATCTAACTAAATCTAAAGATGTTAAAAACAGTTGATAAAGCTATAAGAAACGCAAATCTTAATTTAAATCCAATGATTGATGGAAAAGGTCTTAAGGTGCCTATTCCAAAGTAAGTTATTTGAACTTCTTTCCAATGCTTAACTTGCACGATTGCTCATAGTTGTTTTATTTCTATAGGATTACAACTGAATTTCGTGAAAAAATGATCAAAGTCGCGTCAAAAATTGCAGAAAATACAAAAATAAAACTTCGCCTTGCGAGACAGGATGGATTAAAAGATTTGAAAAAGGACAGTAAGAATGGATTACCGAGTGATGAAGCAAAATTACTGGAAAAACAGGTACCCTCTTGTTACTTTTTTTATATGGTGCAAAGACATCTATACTCGACAATCACGTGACCTGTTTCAATTTTTCAAACTGCTAAAACTTTTATACTGGCCGGTAATTTTATAGAGTATAAAAAGTTTTAGCAGTTTGAAAATTGATATTAAAATATTAAGATTTATATATAAAATAAATTTTAAACGAACTTTAAAATGCTAAAGCTTTTTACGAAGTCATTATTTTAAAAATATTGTCTGTGTAAAAAGTTTTAACATTTTGAAAATTATTGTTGAGTATAGATGTCTTGCACCATACATGAAGGGGTGAAAAATGTTAACCACATTGGAATTTTGCAGCTTCAATTATTAATAGATAAATATGTAAAGGAAGTTGATGACTCTTTTAAATCTAAATCTAATGAAATATCAGGCAATTGAATACCTAAAGGTGTATATGCGAATTTCTAAAGAAAGTTTACTCTTAAGAAATTACAGTAGTTAGGCTAACACGAATTAACGTTTTGGAAATAAGGAGATAGCACAAACCAACTTTATAAATTGGGTCATGCTAGTATTCATAGTAACGTTTCGTGGCCAGTTCGAGATCTATTTTAAGGATTTTTTAATCGTTAATTAAGATTTTTTGTGTAGCTAAATTTGTCTTCTACATTCGCGTACTTGTCATGCTGTGTTACGAATGGTATAGCCAAACAATCTAAGTGTACATATCACTATGATAATTATAATTTACAAATAAATAATT